TGTGTGTGTGTGTGTGTGTGTGCATTAATGCATATTGCATGAGAAGAAAGGAAGTAGTAAGAAGGGTTTTTGAAAAATGGGTATTCCAATGTGAAGCGCATTGAGCTACTTTTTTGGAAATGCGCTATATAAATGTTATATATCATTATTATTATTATTAAATAAATGATATACAATTTTGTTAAACTGTCTCAAAGACTGTATGATCTTTGACTCTCTTCACTCGGTCAACGATAACCAACGTTATACATTCTCTCAACAGGATATCCGTGGACATCAGGCAATGGTTCGATTTCACCCAGAACTCTCCAAATTCATGCTCCCCGGCACTTTCATTCTGATAAAAGGAGCTCACTGGCAACAAACAAACAAACACAGTCTGGAAATAACAGTTCAGTCTCCGGAAGATGCCCTTTTCTTCTCTCCACAGAACAAGTTTGTTCACAGACGTCGACCTCCACTTCAACTGACATGGAATAGATGAATGTACAACTGGGGCATAATATCCGTTCATCAATATCAACACGAACCTCCAGCTTTCACGTACTCCAGATTTCACCGGTGCTATAATAATAGATAGCATTTGTATAGCGCATAACCCCGCTCGAAAGCAAGCTCTATGCGCTTTACACTATATTATTACCCCAGCAGACCATAGAAAACTCAGAAACATTCTCAGCTTCCCGGGAAGCATGCAGTGCAAGCTGCGGATTTCACGCGCTCAAACACTAACAAACTCACAAGTTCTTTCACTGTCTATAGCTGGGTACCCATTCCCACATGGGTGAAGTGAGGAAAATTCGTGTAAAGTGCCTTTCCCAAGGACACAACGTCAGGTCCCTGACAGGATTCGAACCCACGACCTTACGGTTGCGAGTCCGAGAGCCTAACTACTAGGCCACCGACGCCACAACGTTATAATGGTAATCAATTGCTTTTGTGTGGCGCATATTCACGATTACCACCATGTACTACGCGCTTTACAATCACTATCCACCAGACTCTAAAACACCCAGAAACATTCTCAGCTTCCTAGAATGCATACAGTGCGTGCAGCCAATAAAGCATTCAAATACCAACAAACTGATACGATCTTTCGTGTGTGTGTGTGTGTGTGTGTGTGTGTGTGTGTGTGTGTGTGTGTGTGTG